CACTGTGAGCCTGACACAGAAGCTGGCAGCAGTGGCAGACAACTAAGTGCAATTACATTACATAGAAATTTTTTTTTTTTTAAAAGCATACCCTTATCCCTAACCTAGCTATGCTTTTCCCTATCTTATGAACAGCAGCTACACTTTCCCTCCTCTTACTAAGCATGCAGCTTGAGAATGAATCTAAAATGGATGCCGTCCAGTAGGTGGGAGGGTCTGCTAGGGAGGCTGTGCTGCTAATTGGCTGGAATGTGTCTGCTGACTGTGAGGTACAGGGTCAAAGTTTACTCAATGATGACGAATAGGGGGCGGGTCGAACCGCGCATATGTTCGCCCGCCGTGGCGAACGCGAACATGCTATGTTCGCCAGGAACCGTTCGCCAGCGAACCGTTCGGTACATCACTAGTGGCAGGTGCTGTGAAACAAATAAGAAATGTAGCAAAAAACAGCACTAGTTCTCACTGTTTTCTTCAGAGACAAGCACTGGTAGCTAAAAATATTTCACTCTCACTTAAAACTGTGCTAGACGGTCCAGATTATTTATTGAAAGGAAAAAGAGCCAATGCTAGGTACACTGAAGGACGGGGGATAACCACAAATTGAAAATTGAACGACTGGAATAGTGTACCTAAGGGGACTGGGATGAAAAGTGTTATCTCAAAGATGAGTATCTAATGTTCCTGGAAAATCGCTTCCAGACTAGGGACTTATAATAATAAAAGCGAAAAAATAAATACATTTTATTAAGTAAATACTCAATAGAATGAAAAAAAAAAGAAATATGAACGTGCTTATGTACAAAAGGTGAACAAAATTATAGGTACTGAGATCAGTACCGTTAATTAAAATTCCCTATTGATACTGGGTCAAATAACAAGATGTCCCGCCGGTCTCAAACAGACGTTAATAGGTACTGCCATCAGTACGGAGTAGTGGAGCTGACCAATTTAAGGTGTAAGCTTACCCTTAGTAATACTGCATGTCTAGTGTTAGTGGGAGGGTAAGCTTAGCATCAAATATGTCCAATCCAACAAAAATCTGTATAAGGACCGTAAATGAATAGATAGCTTATTATAGTTAGTAAGCCCACAATAGGGCTGGATATATAGTATCCTGATCTGAGCCTGGATAACTTGTATTGCCTATGATATGGATCTATGAAAGCTGTTACAAGGGCTAAATGCTAAGATAGATACATAAGCGGCTATTGGTAGTGTGGATCTCAGCTCCTCGAGGATGATCGGTGGATATGGCGCTGTGGCGCTGTGGCAAAAAGTACTCCAGGATAACTGGCAATTGACTAATGCTAAAGCTGTTTCCCCCCTGCGCCTTCGAGGGCACCTGACGCTAGTCCCGCTAGGCTAGTATAACCTCATATTGGAGTATTGCCATAAAGGAAATAAAGGTGAAAAAATGAATGAATAAATAAAATAAGTAGCACGGTAGCAAGTCCGTGTGCTAAACTCTATATCATAGGAATAGCACGCTAAGGAACCCTGACGCACGGGTTTCGCCCGACCTGGCTCATCAAAAGGGAACCAGCCAGTACAAGGCAGTGGATTCAAATAAGGGGAGAAATCATCTCATTGGTTTAATGTGGGGATATCTGATTGGTAAGTTTGAAAAACATATGTACTGACGTGGTAGAAATTCTCTCGGGAGGGGAGTTATCTCGATGAACTAGATTAACCCCTTTAAGAGGGTTTAAAGTTGTTGATCTGTTTAATATATATTAACTTTGAGTCAAATTTGTCATTAATAGCTTTATATAAAGTTAATAGTACTAATGAAATTACTAAGTGCAAAGAATACTATTTAGGGCGATCAAGACAAAGTTCCTTATATTGAGGATTGTATAATTTCCTAGTTGTTCACTTTTACTGTTACAGAAGACGAAAATAGAAATTATCTATGAACTATAAATATGTTTATAATGGTGTACCACCGAGTGTTCGGATACATAAAGGGTAGCAACTGTATGTGGTCGCTTGGAAAAATTGGAGGCTTGATTAGTGCCGAAGTGAAATAAAGGAGAATTTAAAGGAGAATATAGTAGCCACTTGTAGAGATACATTTTTTCTCTCAAACATGGTCCTTAAGTTGTGATCTCGTAAAATGGGGAGATGTAGTTCAAAAAATTGAGTTTATACAAATATGTTTCGCAGATTCTCTGTAGATTTACCTCTGAAGGACAAAAGATGCTGTTGCTAACTTGCTAACTAGGAGCAGCTGCCTAAGTAATATTCTAATGTATGCAAAATAAAACTGATTTGCACTGTCCAGAATGTCTTAATTTTAAAGACAAATGGTACTCGACATAGGTCTTATATATGTTAATTATAATGGCAGGGATTAAATATTGTTGCTCATGAGTGGAAATATCAAGATACAGCTATTTACAGTTAAAGAGATCCAGTCTGAAGTCTGGATATTGTTATTATTGTTGCAGTCTGTGGCATGCTACTGCTATTTGTTTACCCGGCAACTGTAAGTATACAGTAACCAATTGTAATACATTCTATCTTTTACTTCCCAACAGTTAATCAAACAATGGAATTGATTTGTAATATATAGGAGGAGGAAGATATACAAGAAGTGCTGCAATTTGTAAGTGGCTGCTGTTATAATTTGCTAATTTATAAATAGTGAAAGTGAGTTGTACTGTCAAAAAAATTATTGTTTGAAAGACCTATGGACGAATGAAGCTCGACCATGGTTTTCGGTGCATGAATTATAACAGCAAGGATTAACAATTATTGCTGAATGACGTTGTTGCTACTAATCTGCGCAGCAACTATATGTGTCTGGTCAAGAGGCTTGTAGTGCTGAAGATAAAGCACTTGAAGAAGGTTGAACACACATTCTGCTGTATTTCCATATATTATATTGAGTTATGTATGGCTTCTCAATAACTGAAATTAACGAATAATTAAAGGTAAAAACTGTATTGTGACATTTAATTCTTTGTTGAGACCATCTGGTGTAAGTGTTTTTAGATGGTAAATCCATCTTGATTCTTTCATAAGTAGTGTTTTGTTGAAATTCCCTTTTCTGGTATTCATGGTCAGTTTTTCCAGCGCCTGAAATGTTTGATGTGTGGGGTCGCCTTGGTGGTAGTTTTTAACGTGGTTGGAGACTGGAGTGGATATTTTAGGATTTGTAATGGAGCAGATGTGTTGCAGGATCCTTTGTTTTAGTTGCTGGTAAGTTTTGCCTACATATTGGATCCCACAGCTACAGGTAATTAGGTATATAACCCGTGTGAAGCTACAATTGATAAACTTCTAGATCTTGTATTCTTTTTTTGTTTTAGAGCTTGTTACGATTTTGGTAGGTTTAATGTATTGGCAGGCCTTGCAGTGTCGTACTTGTACTTATAGCCCCATAACTTGCACACAAAAAAAGCTAAGAACATGTTAACATTGGGTATTTCTAAACTCAGGACAAATTTTTTTTTATTATTATTATTGTAAAGAACATATTGTTTTTTTTTTATTTTTTATTTTTGTTGTGCATGGTTTGACAGTATGATATACGTTGCCACAACAGCAAACATAATCACATCAATGACATAGATTTATACATAGATTTATACATATGTGGCTTTGAGGTGAGAGCACAGTTTTAAAGCGGCACTGTCATGCCGAATCCCATTTTTTTTTAACCCCCCTCCCGCCTCCACTACATCCAATTGACCCACTAGTCACCCCCAAATGCCCCTAAGCCCCCCACATTACCTATTTTTTAATCCTTATTTTCTGCCCCCATCTTGATTCAGGGCGCAGCCATCTTTGTGTGGGTAGGTGAAGTCCCTCAGGGACACGTCATCAGCCCACACTAGGCAGACACTGAGATTCCCGCACATGCCCAGTGAAACACCTGGACATGCGAACGGGAATTTCATCTATTCATTCATTCATTCATCAGACAGACGAATGAGTGAATAGAAATATCAGCCGAACAAACAAACACAATGTATCAGTGTATCTGAGTATCAGTGTATGTTTGTTCGTGCAGGTTATTACAAGGAGGGAGCTACCGGCATGCAGCTCCCTCCTTGTAATATGTAACTATTGAAGCGGCAGGGAGCAGTGCTCCCCACCACTTCATAAGCCCCCCCAGGTCCCCTCTCACTCTATGGGGGTCAATATGACCCCCATAATAGCACAAGGGAGATTAAAATCTCCCAAATGCCCCTACTCGCTATACCGCGAGTAGGGGCATGTCTACTAAACAGTGAGCAGCCTGTGGCTGCTCACTGTTGAAAAAAAATTACATAAATTACAATAAGGGGGGGCGGACCTATTGTCCTCCCCCCTCCCCCACCCTGAGCGGCGGGTGGGGGCCATGAAGATAATGAAGGGGGGGGACCTACTGTCCTCCCCCCCGGCCCCCACCCCTGAGCGGTGGGTGGGGGCCCTAATAAAACAATAAGGGGGGGGTACCTTCTGTCCTCCCCCCTGGCCCCCACCCCTGCACGGTGGGTGGGGGCCCTTATAAAACAATAAGGGGGGGGACCTACTGTCCTCCCCCCCGGCCCCCACCCCTGCGCGGTGGGTGGGGGCCCTAATAAAACAATAAGGGGGGGGGACCTACTGTCCTCCCCCCTGGCCCCCACCCCTGCGCGGTGGGTGGGGCCCTAATAAAACAATAAGGGGGGGGACCTACTGTCCTCCCCCCCTGGCCCCCACCCCTGAGCGGTGGGTGGGGGCCCTAATAAAACAATAAGGGGGGGGACCTACTGTCCTCCCCCCCGGCCCCCACCCCTGAGCAGTGGGTGGGGGCCCTAAATGAAACACCCCCACCCCCCAATCAAGGTGACTAGGGGTCCCAAGCCCCTAGTCACCACCCCCCCACACCCAAAAAAACCTATCCCCTACCTACCCCCCTCACCCTACAAATAGTGAGGGGGGGAATAAAATAACTAACCTGTAAAAAAAAAAAAATTTAACTTACCATTTGACGTCTTCTTTTTTCTAAAATCTTCTTTCTTCAGCCCCCAAAAAGGCCAAATAAAAATCCATTATACCCGTCGCACTTTAAAAAAAAAACGAGCGCAAAAAAAAAATTAATCCATGTTCGCCCTTCGAGGGCACGCCGCAGACTGAGCTCTGCAGGGCGGGTCAAGGCTTATAAAGCCATGCCCCGCCCTGCAATTAGGCTTAGAACACTCTGATTGGTGGGTTTAAGCCAATCAGAGTGCTCTGAGTCATTTTACACAGCATGGGAAAGTTCTTTTGAATTTTCCCACGCTGTGTAAAATGACTCATAACACTCTGATTGGTGGATAACCAATCAGAGTGTTATGAGTCATTTTACACAGCGTGGGAAAATTCAAAAGAACTTTCCCAGCTGTGTAAAATGACTCAGAGCACTCTGATTGGCTTAAACCCACCAATCAGAGTGTTCTAAGCCTAATTGCAGGGCGGGGCAAGGCTTTATAAGCCTTGACC